TAGAAAAATACATTTCTTGTAACCCTGAACCCTTTAGACATTGAAAATAAGGGAACATTACCTGGGTCCCAAGGAATTCAGATTTATAGAATGTATGACTATATGACTTCTACTATCTTTCTACTACGTAAATAGAAATATGGAATATAAATTAAATACTTTAATGGTTACAACCAGGGGTGGGCTTCAAAAATTTTGGCAAGGGGTTATCTGCCCGGTTGCTGGGTGGGCATGACCATTGTGTGCATGGTTTAGTCAGCCTTCTGCACCACGGCGGGGGGGGTTGCCCTCCCTGAGCTCTGGAGGCTTTTCTCGAGCCTCTGGGAGGGTGAAAATGGCCTCCACAGGTTCCGGAGGCCCCGTTTCTGGCCTTTCCAAATTTCTGGTAGGCCTGTTTTTCACCCTCCCCGAGCCTCCGCTTGTGCCCTGCACTTACCTGCATCCAAAATGGGTCACATGAGGACTCCTGGGAGGGGTGGGGTGGGGTGGGGTGGGAGGGACCAGCCAGGAGTGGGATTTGGGGGTTCTCTGAACTGTTAGCCAGAGGTTCTCCCGAACCTCCAGCAGCCCAAAACTGGTTACAACAACTGTGTGTTAGTTTCTGAATTCAGGATTGGATTAACAGGCTTTAGGTTAGAGTCAAAGGCAACAGTACCACTGGATATATCCTTCAAATCTTATGTTTCAGGTGAAATAAAGCACAGGGAATATGGATGAATAGTGAGGAAACTGAAATAGAACAGTGATAATTTCTTTCTCTTCCAGAGATAAACTGTTTCTAAGCGAGGGAGAGGCCAGTGGTTATGCGAGGGTAATACCACTGCGATCCAATCAGATCGAGTCTGTCAGTTGAAAAGTCCTCCTCCTTTTGCTGACTCCCAGCTTTCAGACTCGATCTGAATCAGGTCTGACGCTCCACTGAGTCTCTCTCTCAAATTGTTATAACTTGATTTTGCTAGCTTTGCCTCCTTCTGCTCGTTAAGATCTTGAGCAGATTACTCAGCCTTTAGGGCTTTGCGCCCTGCGCTTTGGAGGCCGCTCACTTTTATCAGGGGATTGAACCTATTCCTTCAGGCTCTCCCCTTCAGCAGCGTGAAAGGCTCACGTTTAGTAACGCTGCGAAGCCTCCCAGCTTCGCTGGTAGCAGGCTTCACCAAACGGAGCTAGCCGCCCGATTTCTTGCTGGCTGCCTCTCTCCTTCGGCGCAATACACATTCTGCGCCTCCCAGCTGACGGCCTCAGCGATCTCCGGAGGGTTGAGCTTCAGCCGCCCTCTCCTTCCCAGACGGAGCAGCAGCGTTTGCGCTTCAGCGCAGCGCTAATTTGGCGTCCCTGGGGCTTTCTTCCCCACACGCTTCTGCCTTCCTGCCTCCTGCTGCTGCATAGAGCTTCGAGGGACACAATTTCAAACGGCATTCAGGCAAGGCAGAGCAATCGTGATCCCCGGTGGGGGGGGGGAGAAGGAGAGAGGAATTTCTTGCCCTTAGAGCCTGGTGGTGAAGCTGACCAAAGCACTGTTAAACAAATCAGCTGCCTGTAATTACTACTAATTCAGATCTTACCAGACTTGGCCAGTTCCTAGCTCTCCAGAAAATTACTGGATCTCTAGGCCTTCTCCTGAGCCTTTCTTGTTGGCGGCCGCCATTTTCTAAAGGCATAAGCCTCCACGAGGCTAGCGGCCGCCATTTTGTTTTGAAAATTACTGAACCTTGTTTAATAATTAATTAGAAATTACTGCATTTTACAGGTTCTGATGGCTTCGCGTTCCACCAAGGCCACCAAGAGAGGGGCAGGAGAGAAGGCCTTGCCAGGGCCTTCCTCAGCTGTGCCTCAAAAGAAGTCCAAAGGGACTCAGGCCTCTAAAGAGGCAAAACGCCAGGCAGACAAGGCCAAAAAGGAGCTTCGTCTTCATGAAGCAATTGAGCGCTCCATTCAAAAGGCTCTCAAGGAAGCATCTCTTAGGGAGGCCCCATCACATCCTGAACCTCATCCTGTGACTCCTGCACCCCTCCCCCCCTCTTCATCCACCCCCTCTAGGGAGAGGGCCCTTCCAGGATCTCCCATTCCCCAACTGTCCCCTGATGACACTATGGCTGAACCTCCCGTTCAACCTGAGATCCAGGAGGCCCTATTCGGGCCTTCTTCGGACCAGCCTCAAAAGGGAACTTCTCAATCCCCTACTATGGTTCCCTCCCAACCCCCCGTGGCATCTACAGGGGCACAGACTGCTTCCCTCCTAACCCCGGAGGTAGCAGCTTTCATCCATCAGGCCATCCAGAAGGGGGTTCAACTGGAGCTCCAGAGGCGTACTGCCTCATGGGTGGATGCCTCAGCCTCCTCCCTTGTGGATATCGAGGGTTCTCAATATGAGGAGCCAGCTAATCCTACTGGGGTCGCGGCCCCTTCGGCTGCCTCAGAACCCCACTCGCTACTGGATATGGAGACTAGGGAACAGGACCTATCGGAGGATGAGGACCTGGCCCCTGATCAGCCTTCATTTGTGGGCTTATTCAAACCACAGCTATTTAGATCCCTCCTCCACAAAGCAAAGCTCACCACGGGATTGGGCATTGTAAAGCCCACTCCCCCTGCAGGGGAACCATCTGAATCTCCAGTTCCTCTCTTTGAGGAGCCTATTTCGGAGGTAGAAGAGATTCCAGGGCCCAAACTTTTCAAAGACGTTCTTCAACGTCAATGGTCCAACCCAGTCTCGGGGCCTAACCCCAATTCTCTGGACAGGCGCTTGTACAACTTGGCGCCTGACATTGCTTCCTTACTGCAAATTCCAACAGTAGACCCACCCGTGGTAGCCCTCTCGAGCCATTCCAACATGGCCGCCCCCCCTGAGGAGGCCCTTCGTCCCGAGGAAAAACGCCTTGACAATTCTCTTGTCAAGGCACACATGGCCTCTGCCTGGGCGGCAAAAGCTGCCATGGCGTCTTCTTTCTTTAATAGAGCGTGCATCTTGTGGCTCCGCCAATTGAAGGATCGCCTTCCCTTATCGGACGCCCGGTCCCATCAGGACCTGAATAAAGTCCTAGCGGCCCTAGAATTCTCCGCGGACGCGACTTTGAACTCGTCGCGTTTCTCTGCCAAGTCAATAGGGGCCTCAGTGACCTCCCGCCGCCTGCTTTGGCTCCGCCAATGGCAGGCCAACGCCAAGTCTAAATGGCGCCTCGCTTCATCCCCCTTCGCGGGCCCTTCCCTTTTTGGGGCTCCCCTCGAGCCCCTCCTAATCGAAACCAGGGACAAGAGACGTATCTTGCCCAACGTCTCCCGGCGGTCGGAGCCCCGTCCTACTGCCCCCTTTCGTCCCTTTCGTAACACTGAATCAGGTTTCTCGGGTCCGAGATACCAAAGATTCTTTCCAACACGTTCACGTCCACCAGATCGTCAAGGTCCCCAATTCCAGAGGGGCCAATATAGGCGCTCCTTCAGAGGGGGCCGGGGGCGCCCTTCCCGTAGGTCCCGCTGACTGCAGGTCTTCTTCTCCCATTGGAGGCCGCCTGGCGCTCTTTGCCAGCCAATGGGAGGCCACAACATCGGACTCTTGGGTCAGGGAGACGGTCAGGTGGGGCCTCTCCCTGGAATTCCTCTCCACCCCCCCAGACAGATTTCTCCGATGTCCTCTCTCGAGGGATCGGTCGAAGCGGTTTCTGGTGGTATCGGCCATCCATCATTTATTAGAAATTCAGGCCATCGAACCGGTACCCCAGGAGCAGCTCGGACAAGGCTACTATTCACGTCTGTTCATCGTCCAGAAATCGTCCGGGGGCTGGAGGGCAATTCTGGACCTCAAGACTTTGAACCGCTGGGTCCTCTACCGGCGGTTCAAAATGCAGTCCTTACTATCCATCCTGGATGGTATTCGGGTTGGGGACCTCCTCTCGTCTATAGATCTGACAGAGGCTTACTTACACGTTCCCATCCATCCGGCATATTCCAAGTTTCTGAGGTTTTGTTATGCGGGCCAACATTACCAGTATCGCGCACTCCCTTTCGGCCTGTCCTCGGCCCCCCGAGTGTTCACAAAACTGATGGCCGCCCTTGCGGCTCACCTCCGGGCTCTTCCGGTCAGGATCCAATGCTACCTGGACGATCTCCTGATCCAGTCGAGTTCGGAGGCCTCGGCGCAACGGGACCTGAACTCCACCCTTCAGGTCCTGTCGGCTCACGGCTTCTCCATCAACCTAGACAAGAGCCACCTGGTACCCTCGACCCGCATACAACATCTGGGAGCTGTCATCGATACGGTCGAGTGCAGGGTCTTCCTTTCCCAGGAGCGCCTGACCAGTTTGCGGTCTCTGGTCAGGTCAGTCGCCCGGAGTCACTCTGTCTTTCTGGCGACTCTCTCCCAACTTCTGGGAAAGATGGTTTCCTGTATAGGAATCGTTCCTTGGACCCGTCTCCACTGCAGGGACCTGCAGTGGTTTCTCCTCCCGTATCAGAAGTGCCGCCTATCGGCCTCCTGCCGGATGGTCGTCCTTCCCTCCAAAGTCCGATTAGCCTTGAGGTGGTGGCTATCACCTGCTCTTCTCAAGGGGAGGGAGTTTCGGGAACCCAACCCCCTTGTGGTTACTACGGATGCCAGCCTCCGCGGCTGGGGGGCTCATCTCCACTCCACCATGGCCCAGGGTCTCTGGACCCAGGAGGACCTGGGCCACAACATCAATTGGCTGGAGCTCCGAGCCATCCATCTGGCTCTCCGCGTCTTTCAGAACCAGGTCCAGGATCGCCATGTCGTCATCCGGACGGACAACGTGGCCGCCAAGGCCCATGTGAACCGCCTAGGGGGGACCCGCTCTCGCGTCCTCATGGAGGAAGCCGGGAGATTGGGAGCCTGGGCGGAGACTCACCTGAGGTCTCTTCGAGCATCTCACATATCGGGACAATCCAACACACAAGCCGACTGGCTCAGCCGGTCCGTCGTCGATCAGGGTGAGTGGCAGCTCGACCCAGCCCTGTTCCTGTGGATCGCAGATCGCTTCGGTCATCCGACAGTGGATCTGTTTGCGACTCACGCCAATCGGCAGACCATTCGATTTGTCTCCAGGTTTTACGATCCAAGAGCAGAGGCGACGGACGCACTGCACTGCAGGTGGCCCTCGGGTCTCCTCTACGCTTTCCCTCCCCTCCCTCTTCTTCCCAAAGTACTCAGGAAGCTCTTGGAGGAGGAAGCCGAACTGATCCTGATCGCGCCCCACTGGCCTCGCCGCCCGTGGTTCGCCGACCTCCAGATGCTGTCCACCCGTCCACCGTGGCGTCTCCCTCCGGAGCAGGTCATCCTCCGTCAGGGTCCTCTTCTACACCCGGACGTTCACTGGCTTCACTTGACCGCCTGGAGGTTGAGCGGCGCCTCCTGAGGGCATCGCACTTGCCAGACCAACTCATCAGTACCATTCTAGCCGCACGCCGGCCGGCAACGAGGCGCATCTATGGAGCCACTTGGCGGACATTCGCACTCTGGTGCTCGAGGAGGAACCAGGATCCAGGTTTGGCGTCTACAAAACAGGTATTGCTTTTTCTTCAGGAGGGGTTGGATGCTGGGTTGGCCCCTAATACTCTGAGGAGACAGGTGGCCGCCCTTTCTTCCATTTTATGCTTTGGCGCCCGGAACTCATTGGCGGACCGCCCCCTTATCCGCTTATTTCTCCGGGGCGCTACCAACCTCCGCCCGCCTCCCATTCATCGATATCCGTCCTGGGATCTGCCCAAGGTCCTCTCAGCCCTCACACAAGGTCCATTCGAGCCCCTTAGGACAGTGCCCTTACGCTTCCTCTCGTACAAGGTGTCCTTTTTAGTTGCCATCACCTCCGCCAGGCGGATTTCAGAGTTGGCCGCTCTATCAGCCCGGGCTGATCTCTGTATATTCCACTCCGACCGGGTGGTACTCCGCCTGGACCCCACATTTCTCCCTAAAGTAAACACCCTCTTCCATCGGACTCAGGAGCTAATCCTGCCCGATTTTTGCCCTAACCCTTCCCACCATCGGGAACGTTCCTGGCATTCCCTGGATGTCCGTAGGGCCCTTCGTATTTACCTCCGACGAACTTCTTCTTTCCGTCGGTCGGAAGGGCTCTTCGTTTCCTTCCAACCGGCTACCCTGGGGCTTAAGGTTTCTTCACAAACGGTGGGTCGCTGGATAAGGGCTACAATTACGACGGCTTATGGGGCTCAAGCCTTGCCAGTTCCTCGCCGCCTGACGGCCCACTCTACCAGGAGTGCGGCTACCTCGGCGGCCTGGGCTACCCAGGCCCCTCTTCTAGAGGTCTGTCGGGCCGCCACTTGGACGTCTCCGACCCCTTTCATCCGCCACTATAAAATCGACAGCTTCGCTTCGGCGGAGGCGGCATTCGGTCGTCGAGTTCTCCAACAAGTATGTGCGGGGGATGGCTCCACGTCCCGGGCGGGTCCCTCCCTATGAGTGGTGGACTTTGGCATGTCCCTCGCATAACCACTGGCCTCTCCCTCGCTTAGAAGGGGCGTTGTCTTACCTGAACGCCCTTTCTGAGAGTGGAGAGGCCAGTGGTTATCCCCACCCTTTCCGCCGGGCCGTTTCGCTGGGGGTTATCCTTCCTTTCTTTCATTTCAGTTCAGTGAGAGCGTCTTCCGTCTGTCCACATCTCGTCCGAAAGCTGGGAGTCAGCAAAAGGAGGAGGACTTTTCAACTGACAGACTCGATCTGATTGGATCGCAGTGGTATTACCCTCGCATAACCACTGGCCTCTCCACTCTCAGAAAGGGCGTTCAGGTAAGACAACGCCCCTTTTCCCACAACTCTGCAAGATATAATCATCTTAAGAAATATGTGTTCGTTGGGATTTTCTGATTTTTTTAAAAAAAAAGTTGGCATTGAATGTTATCAAAACTTGATGTAGTACCCATCAATGAAGGAACTCTGGGTGAACAAATAATAAGAGTATGCTGTTTGTTTAATTTATTTGATAAACAAGTCATCCAACATGCAGTGTGGCTGAGTGGGAAAAATGCCCCCAAGCTCAAACAATTCAATAAAAGTGATAATTAGAACCATCTGTGCGAATATTTCATTTAAAAAGTCTTGGGCCATCACACTCTATGAATCTGACAAAATCATACTGTCATTTGCACTGAGAGAGTCTACTCATTGTTTTATTTATAAACTGCAAATCAACAAGCAACCTGAGGAAGGTATTGGGAGTCTGTGCTTTAAAAATAAAATAGCAGGTGAAAGTTGTATTTGCTTGATCTTTGTATTTTCACAGCAGGAAATGGTGGTTTCTTCACATTGTTTTCTTTGGAGGCATACACAACACACACACACATTTTCACATAAATTTGCAGAATAGATGTATATGTGTGTGTGTTTTGCAAATTTATGTGAAAATGTTTAATGTTTAGTTTCTTAATAAAGTAAATATCAGTAAAGTCTTAAACCTATGTGTACTTGGTCATATGCAGGAACTTGTTATCATTCTTTAGTTTAACAGTAAATTGAACTTTTATATACGTACGTATATATTTGTGAGATTCCTTTGATTAAGCATTATATGCTTCAGTATTCATCAGTGAGGGTAATGATGGATAGTAAGTCTAAACAGTTGAACTCTGTTTGGGCTATAGTTATTAGAAATTTTATTTTTAAAAAATAAAGAACAAGAGATTTACTTTTCAAACTATTTCCCCTTGACAAGGGAGAAAGATGTTAATTAGTTTTATTTATTTGCATATTTTGCTTAAGCATGTGATTAGTTTGACATATCTAATAAACATGTTAAATGTGTTTGCTGCATTTATACTGCTCCATAGGGCAGTATATGCATGGATCATAAACTGGATGATAATACTATGGTGTTTGGATTTGATGAATTTACAATGAGCTAATTTTATTTTTTTCTATTGATGCTTTATTTTCTGTTTGAATCTGTTTCATTACTGTAAACAGCTGAGATTTTTAGGCTTGCTTCGGTAGGTGATCTAATAAATATTTTTATATGTTATCCAAGATGCCAAGCTTATTATTTTATTAAAAAATTCTGTACAAATTTTACCAGAATACATACTATAATTAGAATTTGTTTCTAGAATATTCCTAATTTCTTTGCTCATAAAGATATTTTTAAGTTTTTTAGTAAATTTCTTGAGTGGGCCCTCTGACCTCTTACTTGGCTAAGGAGCCATGATGTATCTTGGGGCACTATCCTTTGAGTACTAACATTACAATTTTGAAACAACTTTATCAGAGAAATATTTGCTGCATTGGATAATTATTAGCTGAATCAGACTCTATGTGAGAATTTTAAGCACTAGCTTTTATTGCTTTGACAGGATTTTGAAATGCTAACTCAGGTTCTGCACAGAGCTTGTTTGCTTGTATAATTTATTAACTGTTTTCTTGGCTGCAAAATGTAAAGTTTACTTTCGGTGAGCAATGTGTTTACAGTAATAATTAACCTAATTTTACCTGGGAGTTAGGTTGTTATCATGGTTAAAGAGCTTCAGTGCTTCTGACATGGAAGTATATAGTATAGTATGGTTAAAAGCAGTATTTCTCAATCTCAGCAACTTTTAAGATTTGTAGAACAATTTCCAGAATTCCCCACCAAGCATGCTAGCAACCATGAAATTGTCAGTTCTGATCCTGTTTTGTGCACAAACACAGTTGTGTGACTTTGGGTCAGTCTCTTTTTCTCTCTCTCAGCCCTAGAAAGAAGGGCAAGCACAAAACATTTCCAAAATTTGCCATGTGGGGATGTGTCCAAGAAGTTTCCAGGAGTCAGGAATGACCAAAACCAACCTAGAATCACATTTCCTGTTTTCTCCTTATTCCAATTACAGGCAATAACCAGTAAACAAAATGCAAATGTATAAATAAAAAATGTACTGGATGGAGTGATATATGTCAACAAATTATTAATAAGTATAGCTGGAATGTGGTAATACTGTCTACCTTCCACAATGAATGCTAAAGGCTGTTTAAATTTGCAGTCACACCTGTCATGATACATACAGCTTGGTTTATGAAACACTTATTATGGAAATAGATTTCTTATCCTCTTTGCACGCTTGATAAAATTTGCCCTTTTTGGCAAGTCAAGGGTAATTAAATTGTTTCTACTTTTAACAGGATGTATACTTTGGCCTATGTAACGATTGAATTAGTTACTGTCCATAATTCTTACAGTTCTTTAATATTCTGTATGTTGGAGGGTCAAATTATCAGTGATGGTGGCAGATTTTCATTTCTATTCATGACTGCCACAATCAAGAATAAAGTAGTAGACAAGAACTCAGTATCTAGAATATTAAAAATATAATTATTTTAAATATGATTCAGGATTCACAAAATCATTACGAACTCATGTAAAATAAAAGTGATACGTCCTAAAGAAATGTTAATGGTACATTTGTATTATTTGGCAGCCACAGAGATTGCAAGATCTGTTGGTTTAAAGTCTTTGGTTGTGTGAATATATAATGTTGGATATTTCCTCCTAAACACAAAAAAGATATTAAAACTTAAGGGTATGGCAGTAATTTACACAGGAAAAAGAGATAAAAGCTGACATCTTTGAGACATATTGAAATAAAGTTCTGTGTCGTTATTTCTAAAGACAAAAACAACTTCTAAAAATGCCCATATTTTGTGTAGAAAGAGAAACGATTTAGATACTTAGGGAATGCATTGGGTGAAATCCAGCAGGTTCTGACAGGTTTTGGAGAACCGGTAGGAGAAATTTTGAGTAGTTCGGAGAACCAGGAAATACCACCTCTGACTGGCCCCAGAGTGGGGTGGGAATGGAGATTTTGCAATATCCTTCCCCCAGGAGTGGGGAGGGAATGGGGATTTTGCAGTATCCTTCCCCTGCCACGCCCACCAAGCCACACCACGCCCACCAAGCCACACCATGCCCATCAAGCCACGCCCACAGAACTGCTAGTAAAAAAAATTGAATTTCACCACTGGAATCCATCCTTGGTGGTAGAAGAAGACAAAGAAGTTTTCTGTCTGCTCCAGCTTTTGATATGTTTTGTAATGGTGACCCAATTAAAAATGTGTAGCTATCATTCTGTAATATGGAAGTTAAGGCCACTTCATCAGCAGTATGAACATGGTTTTTCAGTAATCTCTTATATGGCTCCGCCAATCCATGAGTTTGTAAGAAAGTCAGAGTTTGAAAGAAGCAGAACTACTCACTGAGAGACTAGATATTTTTGACTCTGGTTTTATTTTGACTAGTAGTTATAACTTAAATAACTTGTAAAATTTGATTGCTTGGTGTACTAAACAAAGTGCAGTCATGCCATATCTAGGCATGGGCATGTTTTAGGTGTGGGTATTTCCTTGGATTAAGGTATGGATACATATATGTGTCTGGTTTATGTTTGTAACTCATAGGTTTTTTTGAATGCTTGAGGGCAGGGAAATGTTTATTTGTAGTGTTACATTAGACTGGAACAAAATGTTTGGTATAGCTGTTGCAAAAATAATTGGCAAACTAGATTATGGTGGCGATTTCTGTTCTGACATACTCCAGATCTCTACATCTCTGGCAATGTGTATTGTGGAATATTTAGAAACGGTATGCAACAGTATCCTACAGTCAGAGAAAAAAGCTGTGGAAATTAATATATTTGATTTTGTTAAGTCTCTTCTTCAAATGAGATCTCTTAATGTGTTCTGGAATACAGATTATTATTGTATTTCATGATCCACTTTCAGTATTCTTTTTTAAAATAAAAATCGTAACAGGATAAAGAAGAAAAATAATATGACCAACTATTAAGAGTTCCCAGACTGTGCAGCATGCATTTGGCTGTTGTTTGCTCTACAATTACAAATATTTGTTGGCTTGTATATGATTTATTATTATTGGTGTAGTTGTCTGATCATAATGAGCTATAGAAAATCTACCCAGTCATTGACAGAAGGTGCTGCATTGAAAATAATCAGTCATTTTGGTTATAACCTCTGGGAACTTCTTACTCAGAAGCTGAGGCTAAAAGCATAATAGGATATGGTAGAAACAGATAAAAGCCAATCAAAACTCCCGAGGTTTTGAAATAAAATTTCATATAGAACTAGCACTTGATGTGCCATCAAGTTGATGTTAACTCTTAGTGATCAGATATAGTAGATAGATTTTCTCCAGGGCAATCTGCCTCCTATCTGGTTCTTTATATCTTCCAACGGTGTACTCACTACGACTGCAATTCAGTCTATCCATCTTGTTGCTGGTTGTTCTCTTGTGTTCTATTTTTTCCCAGCATTATAAACTCTTCCAGAAAGATAGGTTTTAGTATCATCTGTCCACAATATAATTTGAGCTCAGTCATTTTTGCTTTGAGTAAGGACTCTTGATCAACGCCTTCTATGATCCTTTTATTTGTTTTCTTGGCTATCCATTCTATTCTTGGAAAGTTCAAAAATATCAACACTCTTTCTATCTTGCTTCTTCAGACTCCCTTTATTTTTCTTCTACAGAGTTTTCAGGAAGACCATTGCTTGCATTTTTAGGCGTAGACCAGAGGTGGTATTCAGCCGGTTCGTACCGGTTCAGGTGAACCGGTACCACCCGCCGACCCACCCGGATGTAATGCCGTCCTATTTAGCCACATTTTCGAGGCCAGGCACATGCACAGAAGGCGTGCGTGGGAACAAAGCATATGTGCGGAAGCCTGGGCCCATGAGCAGATGGCCACATTTTTTGACAGCTGCTTCCTTTCGTATTGATAATTAATTCTATAAGGCAAAATTTTCCTACCATTTTG